TCTGCGCGCCATGTGGGACCCTCCTCCGGTGGCCGGGGAGCAGCCGGGGATCGAACCAGCACTGCAGAAGCTGCTGGCAGCTTCGCAACCCAGCGCTCAACCGCTGCGCCACCGGGGAGGCCCCTACTTTTAAATTTTTTATTGCTTATCTTTTATTTTTCTATTCTTTTTTCTTTTTTTATTGTTTTTATTTATATAAGAGCTGGGGTACAAGCCAGAGTCGCGGGAGGGTGAGAGGATTCACCAGAGACAGAGCGGGGAGCAGAACAGGCAGACGGACCAAAAGCACTGCTGAGGGGAGCAGCGGGCAAGACAGGAGAGGTCTGCTCACCATGTGAGATTCTCCCTGGCCGGCCAGGAGTTGAACCGGTGCTGCGGACAGCTTCACAGCGCTGCGCTCAACCAGCTGCACCACCGGGGAGGCCTGCTTATCTTTTATTTTAAAGCACATTTTCTCTTTTGTGATTAGTAAGCAATCCATGGGATGATAATCTGAGACTGAGTGAATATCCTGTACCCTAACAATCCTTACACCCATGGCTTTAGACTCCTTAAATGAATGAATGAAAAGCAGGAAGCTGTGAAACATTATTAAATTAAAAACAAAATAAACTCTATTTCTTTGGAACCCAAATCTAGACCCACTGAAGTAGCAACCATTACCTGAAATTGGGGAAAATTTTTCTAAAAAGCAGCCAGCCCTACCCCTATTCTTATCACTGAAATTTCAATACACTAAGCACAAGTCAATTTAGGGTAGAGACAACTGTGATATAGGAATTCTTGATGCAAGTAGGAAAGTTGTGAACAATTACAGTTCAACAAAGAAATTAATCTCATTGGAAAGAAGAAATCAGTCTACTAACTGTTGAAAAGGAACACAAAGGTCAAAAAGAGATTAAGTGTACCCTAAACATCTGAGACCCTCCTGCAAGCACCCAAGGTGCCAAAAGGACAGAAGGCCAAGGAGAAGATGGTTCTGGTCATAGTGAATAAGCAGGAGGCCAAGAAGGTGGTAAATCCCATTAGAGAAAAGGCCCAAGAATTTTTGCATTGGACAGGGCATGCAGCCCAAAAGGGACCTCACTCACTCTGTCAAAAAGCCCCCCACATCAGGCTGGAGAGGCAAAGGGCAATTTTCTATAAGCAGCTGAAAGTGTCTCCTGTCATCAAACAATTCACCCAGGTGCTGGACCACCAAACAGCTACTCAACAGCTTAAGCTGGCCCCCAAATACAGACCAGACATCAAGCAAGAGTAGCAGCAGAGCTTGTTGACCCGGGCTGAGAAGAAAGCTGCTAGCAAAGGGGATGTCTCTACTAAGAGACCACCTGTCCTTCAAGGAGGGGTTAATGCTGTCACCACCCTGGTGGAAAACAAGAAGACTCAGCTGGTGGTAATGCACATGATAGGGACTCCATCAAGCCAGTCATCTTCCTGCCTGCCCTGTGTGGGAAAATGGGGGTTCCCCACTGCATTATCAAGGTGAGGGCAGGCTGGGGAGCCTAGTCTACAGGAAGACTTATACCATCATTGTTTTCACACAGGTTAATTTGGAAGACAAAGGAACCTTGGCTAAGCTGATGGAAGCTATCTGGATCAATTACAATGACAGATACTAAGAGATCTGTCATCATTGGGGAGGATCCCAAATCTGTAGCTTGCATCACCAAGCTGGAGAATGCAAAGGCTAAAGAACTTGCCACTAAACTGGGTTGAGTGTATGCTGTTGTGTCTTCTGTACATGAAAATAATAAACATCCTCCTAAAAAAAAAAAAAAACCTGACATTTTGAACTGGCAGAGAAATGTGTTTCACATTCTAGTTTAAGAGTGAAGTCATTTAGGCTATTTTTTTTTCTCTTCACTTGCTCTAGAAAACAAATTCCAACTCACAAATAAGGGAAAAGCCTCTAATTGGAAATTAAATTTTTTTAATGAATTCAAATGAGACTGCTTAATTTTTTTTTTTTAAAGTAAACTTCCAGGGCCTCCCTTGTGGCACAGGGGTTAAAGACACAGTGCTATCAAGCTACGGGGAGCCACAGCAACATGAGTTTGATCCCCAGCCAGGGAGCTGACCCACATGGCACAACAGACCTCTCCTGGCTCACCCGCTGCTCCCCTCAGCAGTGTATTTCAGTAGATTTGTCTGTTCTGTTCCCCACTCTGTCTCTGGTGAATCCTCTTACCTCCCACACCTCTGGCCCACACCACAGTTCTTATATGCATAAATAAATAAATCTTTAAAAAAAAAAGTAAACTTCCAGATGATATTGCTATATAAATCTCTTATCTCTGGTATCAGATGCTTATCCATCATAACAGGTTTTACTCATGGTTACTCAAAAAAACATGCTGTCACAAATATCTCCTTAATTAAAGGCAATTTAGTTCAAATGCTACATTTTATAGGCTCATTTGTTAAACAAATTTGGACTGCAAATTAATAATTTAATGTGAATATGTACATGAATAAAAGCTCATATTTCATGTACAGTTAATAAGGAACAGCTGCAGACAGGCTTTCGCATTCTTCAACTCAGTTTTATAAGCAAAGTAGCAAAGTCTTCAAAAGAGACAAATATTCACACATTGGCATAAATACTTCTAAAATTGCATTTATAATTTTGTTATATCATTCAGTTTCCATATTTGGACACACATTCCCATCTGTACTTCTTTTATTATCATGTGGCTACTTTAAGTCTTTAGGTGAAGACATTCATGTCTGCCAAAATTTATAATGCACTTGCAAACACAACTTGTATTCACCAGAGTAAGAGTGTGAATTTGCACCAAGAAAAAGATACCTTTTGTCAAAAAAGGTGGTGATATCAAAGTTAACAAGTTTCTACTGATGCTCTATTATTGTTATTCACTGCAATGAGTGAGATGATGATTTACAGTATATTGCGATTCCAGAGACTCCCTTCACCGGCACCTCCTTTCTTTCCCTATCACTGAGTAGAGTCATTCTGAGGTGTGTTAGCCAAGGGGACCTGAGTTTGAATCATGGCTTTGACAAGTCACTCAATATCTCTAAATCTCATTTTACTCATCTATAAAATGAATATATACCACTGACATCCCAAGGCTGTTGGTAGAAGGATGAAATGAGATTAAATGTGAAATTCTGGACCAAAATAGATGCTCAATAAGTTAGTTCCCTTTTTCCCTTGATCCAAAGTTTTTGAATCATTCCTAGAAATATTCCCCAGTTATAGCCTGTGAACTTGGAAACGTCTACATATTCTTTAAATTCTTGGCCCTGGAGCTTGAAAGTATTTACACAAGTGGGAATTTCAACTTCCTGTTTAGGGTCAGTTTTCAAGACTGTGATTCATCCAGCTTCTAATTGTTCTCATTACCCAGCCCAGCAATATCAGGTATTCCAACAAGTTCACCACACCCTCTCCAGGTTTCAATACAAGGCACCAGCCTCATCAGACCATTTAAAACTTCTACCCACAAAATTTGTTTCAGCATAGTTATACTAACTACATCAAAATACTGCTATTCTCCTTCCAAGCAGGGGTTTGGACTTTCCAAGAGGCTCCCCTCCTTTAGTTGTGATAAATAGATAAATGAACATTGGAACATCTCAGAATACTCTGATAGGAAGCAGCCACGGTCACACCCACTCCCAGACAGGGCAAACACACCCTACTGACTGATATTCTTTTTTCAGATACCTGAAAAACCCGGGCCCAGTGAAACCAGAAGGTTGGATAAAATTGATAAAAGGTAGAACCAGGATAATTTAGCTGATTTAGAGAACACGTTGACATTCCCAAGCCACAGTATGAGAACAGATGGCTTTAAAAGCACAGATTCTAAACTACATTTATTAAGCGCCTACCTACCATGTTCCCAGCAGTACACAGAGTACGGGGTTGGGGCCCGAAACAAATCTGATACTTTTTCGGGTCCTCCAGTTTGGGGACGGGGGTTTAGAAGAGGAAGACGCATACACACAGAAAACCCCGAAGCAGCAATAACAGCTAACATCTGACCACCTAGTCTGGGTCAGGAACTATTCTAAGTAATTTACAGAACTGAACTCACTAAAAGAATGTTCTCACTGCAGACAGGACTCCGAGAAGCAATCTTCCCTGGGTCACTGAACGAGGTGGTGGTTAGAACGAGGGTTAGAATTTCGACAATCCGACTGGAGGGTTGGGAGGTGAAAGGCACTACGGAAAATCGAGGAGGAGTGAAGAGGAGCAAATGTGACTTCGGGCGGCACTGGAAGCCAGGATTCCTGAAAACACTCGGGGGAAGATTTCGAGTTATGGAGGGTCCCTCGATAGCTGAAGAAATGAGGGTTGCCCCGGCCGGAGCCAACATTCCAGGGCGCCTACGGGGAGCAGGGACCTACTTAGATGCTAAAGAAAGAAATGAGCGGTCCCTGGCGACGCCCGACTAGGGGGAGACACCATTTGCCAGTTTTACAGCCTGGGATAAAAGCCCACAAAAGAGGGGCAAAGTGGGCCATGGAAGCACAGGAGAAGGAGCCGTTAATTCTGATACTGGAGGACGCCTGAAGCTCAAAAATCAAGGCAGCAGGGACCTGCGAGCTTTGGCGAGACCCGGGGAGAACTCGGATCCCCGCCCCCTCCCGAGGCCGACGGGGAGCCTCGGCCCACCCCGAAGCCTCCGCGCCCTGCGGCCTAAGCCCCCGCCTCACCGACCCCACAGGTTCAAGTCCGGTGCGAGACCCAGACAGAGGAGGCCGGCGGGGTCAGACGCTCGCCTCAGCGGCCCCTTACCTGGGGTGGGGGAAGTCCGGACCGGGTCGGAGCGGAAAATTCGCGGACTCTGGTCAGTCGACGCGAACAGGCTCCGACGGGCGCGGGCGGAGGACTGAGGCCCAGAGGGAGCGGCTGACAGATCCCGGAAATGGACACGGCGCCTGCGCAGCGCAGCGCGGTCGCGTGCGGTCCGCGCAGGCGCAGGGCTCTGGCGCGCCGCTGCGCCCGGGGCACCTGTGGCCCAGTTAGGGTTCGCGTGGCGGGCGGCCGCGGCTGCCCCTCTAAACGCCGCGCGTCTGAAGTCGCGGCCTCTCGGAAAAGGCGTCTTAAAACGGCTAGAAAGTGATGAAGCAGCGGGGATGTTTTGCTCTTTTCCTTGAAAACTTATCTAATAACTCTCGGGCGGAGGTGTGGAGCCTGGGCAGCTTCACAGGTGTTTGTCAGGAGATGAATTGTTGAGAGTTGGGGGGTTTCCAACCACTTGGACTCAACGAACGACCAAGTTTTCGTATCGGGGTACCCCCGTCAGAGCCATTCTGCCTTTGTGGGAAAACTCTGAGGTCCTTTCGTGAGAAACGCCTTGACCCTTCTTGGGTCGGAACCTCTTCTTCTTCTTCTTTTTTTAATTAATGTACAAACTTTTTTTTTTTTTTAAGATTTATTTGTTTATGCATACAAGAGCTGGGGTACAGGCCAGAGATGTGTGAGGTGAGAGGATTCACAGAGCCAGAGTGGGGAACAGAACAGGCAGACTGACTGAAAGACACTGCTGAGGGGAGCAGCAGGCGAGACAGGAGAGGTCTGCCGCGCCACATGCGTTACTCCCTGGCCGGCAGGGGATCGAACTCGTGCTGCAGAGGCTGCGGATTGCTTCATAGTGCGGTGCTTAACCCCTTGTGCCACCAGGGAGGCCCGGAACCTCTTCTTCCCTGCTCCCAAGATGACGCCACAGGACTGAGGTGTTGGGGGAACTCCTCAGCAACTTCCCCCAAAATACGAGGAGATTGTGCTTGCTGTACAGATGCCGCTTCCACGAAATGCTCTGAACCCCCATTTCCAGCTAGACTTGTGCTGAGAACTCATAGGAAGGTTGGAGCCATACTTCTCTGAGATGTCACTTGCAGGTATTTTACAAGTTTGACCCCAAGGCTTGGTTGTCAGATGTTCACAGAAGTACACCTGTCAGATTCCCGATCTCAGAGACCCATGTTCCTCAGGTTAGTTAATGCTGCAGTTCACCGGGTGCAAATGCACTGGAAGTAATTGGTTTCAATCTGTCCCATGGCCACAAAGTCTTTGGTCATAGGGAGATGGAGGACAGATCGAGAGAGCAAAAATAACCTTTTGAAATTAATTACCTTCTCTTGGAGACGGCAAATGAAGCATACAGCACTTCATGGAAACGGGTGCCTCCAGTGTCTGCAGGTGTTATGAACCAATCCCAAGTTGGTAACCGCGGTCAAGATTCTATTACAGAGCAATGGGGTCACCCATGTGCATAGATCAAATTATGACAGCAGGTTTTGAGAAGAGAAATCAGCTTTATTTCAAAGTAATTGCAAGGAGACAGGCTAAGCTCAAATCTGCCTCTTAGGTTAAAATAGACAATGAGGTTGTATAGATTTGGGGGACCAGGGTTGAGAAGGAAGGAGTTAAATCTTACTGACCAAAAAGCAGATTGGGGCAAAGAAATATGGACGGGGCTGAAGTTCATTGGCTAGTTATAGAGCAGTTCATACATTGGAAAGTATGAAGAGGCTTTTCCTCAGATAGGTGGACTTTTGGATTTCTGCCAGCAGGTAGCCTACCCCTTCTCTATTTGCAGTGCTGTTGCTCTTGCCAACCTTGGAGCTCTGTGCCCAATTAGTTGATAAACCTGGAGGTTCTGCTGTGTCTGCAGAAGCAAGTCTCAAGGAAAAGTTTGGACAAGTTTTTTTTTTTCCCTCTCCTACTCTTAGGGGTGAGGCCACTTGAACCATTTAGCCTCCATTTCAATTCCAAGAGTTTTATAGAGATCCCACCTCTTTACAAAGGACAGTTCTTTCTTGGAAGAAGTGTGTAATCTTTTTTTTTTTTTTTTAAAGATTTATTTATTTATTTGTACAAGCACTGGGTACAGTCAGAAGCGCGGGAGGGTGAGAAAATTCACCAGAGCCAGAGCGGGGAGCAGAGCAGGCAGAAGGACCGAAGTACACTGCTGAGGGGAGTAGCGGGCGGCAGGAGAGGTCTGCACGCCATGTGGGACCCTCCTCCAGTGGCCAGGAGCAGCTGGGGATTGAACCAGCGCTGCAGAGGCTGAGGGCAGCTTCGCAACCCAGCGCTCAACCGCTGCGCCACCAGGGAGGTCCGGAAGTGTGTAATCTTGGTAGAGGAGATTAACACATAAGAATACCAGACTCTGTAGGTAAATGACAAGAAAGGAAAGAAATCAGCCTCAGAAAAGTAGCGGTAAATAGTAATTATTGTTATAAATATTATTATAAATATTAATATTAATATCTGTTCTCTTTTATGTTAGAATCTTGCATTTTAGCCTAAGTAGAGCTTATCATTTGATAAATTTCATTTCCTATTTTATGAGTCATTCCAGATGATAGACTCTTAGCTCCAAAGGGATTAAGTGAAATTGTTTTATTCTGTAACAGAAAACAGGACCAACCTCAAGACTTGAGCGTTTCGATACAAGTTAATGGCAGGGCTGGCCTCCTGATGACAGTCCAGAACATTTTCCATTATACCATGATGCCCTGGCATAAGCTATTGAAAGTCCAAGGAGGGTGAGTGATTTTTTTTTTTTAGATATTTATTTATTTATTTGTTTGTTTGTTTACTTATTTATACAAGAACCAGGGCACAGGCCAATGCACGGGAAGGTGAGAGGATTCACCAGATACAGAGCGGGGAAAAGAAGAGGCAGATGGACAAAATACACTGGTGAGGGGAGTAGCGGGCGAGACATGAGAGGTCTGCTGCACCATGTGGGACCCTCGCGGGCAGGCCAGGATCAAACCCACACTGCAGAGGCTATGGACAGCCTCACAGCGCTGCGCTCAACCACCTGCGCCACCAGGGGAGGCCCAGGGTGAGTGATTTTTTGTGATTGTTTTTTAACTTGTCTAATGACAATGATCTAGTATCCAAAATGAAAGCTCTGCTTTTTGAAAAATTACCAGGGAAAAATGGTACTTTAAAATGGGAAAAGGAAAAAAGAGAGCATTTGGACAGTGCCATGGGGTGATTGCTTATTTATTGTCAATTGGAATTGGAATAGGATTGAGTTGGAATTTGGTCAAACTTAAAGCCAGCAAATATTTAATGAGAACTCACCAAGTGCCAAGTATTGTGTTAAACATTTTGTGCAGTGTACTGGAGCGTGGGGTAAGATTCCCCTCCCCTCTCCTCATGGACCAGTTTACAAATTATTTTATTTTCTCAAATTTTATTAATATGCCAATTGTTGACATAGCTATAATTTTTGGGAGTACAACTTCATACCTCCATACGTACACATGCGTCATTCACCCTCTACCAAAGATCCAGTGCCAATCCCCTATCAATTTGTCTCCTCTTCTCCAAACAGAAGTCTAAGATTTTTGCTGCTGTGTTTTGCCATTTTCACAATTAATTTTAAGTAGAAGGAAATGCACGGTGCCTTGAACCTGGAAGTTAATGTTTGTGGAATGAAATATGAATGAATGAAAGAAAATGGAATTTCAAAGGGTGCAGAGATTCCCACCAGTTGAGGTGTGGCTTTTATAGACACATCAGGAACATTACCAATCGTATGTTGGAAAGATTACATGTTTGCAGAAACCTGAGGATTCCCTCCTCAGGAGAGCTTTGATTTAGAATCTGGAATGTAGGTTTGGAGAGTTGGAAACTTGATTCTTGCTTTTGTTCCACCAACAGTGAATACATACTGTCAATTCGCCTCTATTTCTGTCTATTTTTAGAAGTTATTTATTTATTTATTTATTTATTTTTGTGTAGAAGAACTGTGGTATAGGTCAGAGGTGTGGATGAGCAGATTCACCAGAGACAGATTGGGGAGCTGAACAGGCGGATCTACTGAAATACACTGCTGAGGGGAGCAGTGGGCGAGACAGGAGAGGTCTGCTGTGTCTTGTGGGTTAAATCTGTGGCCGGGGATTGAACTCAGGCTGTCACGGAGGGCCATCATGGTGGTAGCACTGAGACTTAACCCCAAGCACCAGGAAGGCCCCTATTTCTGTCTTTTGCGTGGGCTAATACATGCCACCTACTCACCACAAAGACTGTTGGAAATATTGAGTTAATGCCTATAAAAGCTGTAAGTAACCAAAAGGATGAACAAAAGTGCTTATTCAGGTAACACCACTGTAAGAGGAACAGTGAGGGATAATATCTGAGCCAGTGGATAGGGTTTATAATTAACTAGATAGAAGGTAGAACTTTCCAGATTCCACCCCCTGATAGGGTGCTGATGGGAAATAGGGGTGAAGCTGGGACATTTGGGCAGTTAAGCTGCTGATGCTTTGGCAATTAGACTGCTAGTAGAGAGGAGTTTCTGTGGAGAAACCACCACCTTGCCAGGTATGGCTTTCACTTGGATCTCAGTCTCTGCTCAGTGGCTGCTATCTGGGCTACTACAGATGGCATTTGGCCTCATGCCAGCCTATAAATTTTCTCTTTTTTCTTTTGCTCTGCCTTTTCCCACTCCCCCGTGAATAGAACACATTGTTGTTTCTCATCATGTGTCTGCTGTGTTCTGTGTTCTTAAGTGTGCAGATGAGAACCCCATCAACCAAGTCAACCTGGTTCCTCAGGGTTTGCTCTGTTTCACTACTAATTTTTTTTAAAGATTTGTTCATTTATTTTTTTTATTTTATTTATTTTTTTTTAAGAGGCATGTATTTTTATTTATTTGTTTGTTTGTTTATTTATACAAGCACTGGGTACAGTCAGAAGCACGGGAGGGTGAGAGAATTCACCAGAGCCAGAGCGGGGAGCAGAGCAGGCAGAAGGACCGAAGTACACTGCTGGGGGGAGCAGCGGGCGGCAGGAGAGGTCTGCGCGCCATGCGGGACCCTCCTCCGGTGGCCGGGGAGCAGCCGGGGATCGAACCGGCGCTGCAGAGGCCGCGGGCAGCTTCGCAACCCAGTGCTCAACCGCTGCGCCACAGGGAGGCCCGATTTGTTTATTTATTAATACAAGCACTGGGTACGATCAGAAGCGTGGGAGGGTGAGAGAATTCACCAGAGCCAGACCATGTGGGACCCTCGCCCGGCGGCCGGGGATTGAACCGGCGCTGCAGAGGCTGCGGGCAGCTTCGCAACCCAGCGCTCAACCGCTGCACCACCGGGGAGGCCCTGTTTCACTACTAATCTTTATATTTTAGATAGTGCCCTAATTCTGGGTATGATCCCAAGAGGGAGAATTTTCTTAGACAGGATCTTATACAATTCATTGCAGAGGGACTGAACAATGTTAGCAGACTTTTCTAGTTTGGTCAACTAGCTCATTTCCATAGTATGAGGATGGGACAGGTTTATGGGGTATCTAGGGAGATAAGGTAGTCTAAGGTGGTATGTAAATATGTAAATATCATACTTACAATACAAGCATATGAACATATTTATGAATACAAGGTATTGTCCCAATTTGATAAGTGAAATCTGTAGCCCACTAACCTGTAAATCATTTAAGGGCTAGCACCACTTCTTACACATTTTTTCCTAACATATTTTCCCATGTTATGCATTCCTAGATTATTTTAATAAAAAGATAACATGATGGAGTGCTTAAAAGAGTTCCTTGACTTTGGAAATAGAATTAAGTTCAAATTCTGGCTCTGCAACTTCGAGCAAGTCAATCAACTTCTCAAAGTTTATCTTAAAATGAGGATAATAGTTCCCACCTCTTCTGGTTGTTCTAAAGATTAAAATAGACTGAAGTGCTTGACGTTTCTTGGTACTTTGAAAGTATTCGTTCGGTTACTAAGAAAACGGTGTTAATATCTCCCCAACGTTTGTGGATTTGCCTATTTCTACTCGGATTTTGTCATTTTTTTCTTTCTGTGTTTTGAGGCTGTATTAGAGATGCCTGTGTTATAGAACTACATTTTCTGATGAACTGAATATTTCATTTAAAATGTTCCTTTCTAATAGTGCTTTTTGGTTTAATGTTTTATATCACTAACATATTTTTACATTGTTTCCTTGCTCTATAGTGCATATTTGCTCCAGGTTAGAAGGAGCAAAATTCTTATCCAAAATAGTGTGTACTATTGTGTATGGCTTGCAAATGGTACCACTGTGGTATTCATTAAGAATTAAATAATTTGGTAATTAGTGCTTAAATTTTTTATATTAGGTGGAAATGTTTGGGGGATTTTTAAAAAGATTTATTTATTTATACAAGAACTGGGGTGTGAGCCAGAGGTGCATGGAGTGAGAGGATTCACCAGAGAGAGTGGGGAGCAGAACAGGCAGATCTACTGAAATACACTGCTGAGGGGAGCAGCGGGTGAGACAGGAGAGGTCTGCTGCACCATGTGGGTTGTTCCCTGGCTGGCCGGGATTGAACTCATGCTGCAGAGGCTGCGGATTGCTTCATAGTGCTGTGCTTAATCTCTTGCGTCACCAGGGAGGCCGAGGGGATTGTTTTTATAGGTGTTTAAGAGGCTTTTAATAAATTTAGAGAAATTATTTGGGCTTCTTGGATAGGCGGTAAATACCATTTGCTAACCCTGGGAGGGACAGTATCTTCTTAGAGATGTCAGATCGTCAAGAATCCAGAAAATAAGAAAAATTGGTAGTATGTTTAAGAAAACAGTTTATCAGTGATGCATATTTAGCAGCCTTGAAAGCTAGCCAAGAACATTTAGCAAAACCATTCAAATTGTCTTTATTCCATTTACTCTGTAGAACATGGTACCAGTGCCCCGCTTCAGTTATCATGGATGCCAATTAATGTTACTATTTTCCAAGGTCATAGTTTATATCCTCTTAGACCTTTAAGCCACTCTGAAATTACATGTCCTTAGGTAAAAAGAGGATATGTTGCTAAGTGAAGTCTTATAAATACTAAGCCAGAAACTTCATCTCATGCTACAAAGAATTTGTAGCTCTGACATTAGCTGAACAATCTTGAGCAAGTCAATCAGCCTGTCTACTTCTGGACATACTCCTACCGCTTGGCAAAGTGAGGAGCCACTTGGAATTCTCTTGAGTGTGGAGAGTCCACAGGAAACAATGATAGGGTCTTTTTTTTTTTTTTTTAAAGATTTATTTATTTATTTATACAAGCATTGGGTACAGTCAGAAGCGCGGGAGGGTGAGAGGATTCTCCAGAGCCAGAGCGGGGAGCAGAGCAGGCAGAAGGACCGAAGTACACTGCTGAGGGGAGCAGCGGGCGGCAGGAGAGGTCTGCACGCCATGTGGGACCCTCCTCTGGTGGCCGGGGAGCAGCTGGGAATCGAACCGGCGCTGCAGAGGCTGCGGGCAGCTTCGCAACCCAGTGCTCAACCGCTGCGCCACCGGGGAGGCCCACAATGATAGGGTCTTAAAGCCTCATGGGATACGCCTTAAATTTCTCCAGCAAGAGGCCTTCTGGGTCAGCAACTATCCTGACAGGCCCTGTAGAACTTCCCTTGGAAAGTCAAGTGTTGAAGTCCTACAGGATGCTAGAAAAAAACTTGATAAGATCTAAGTATCATGAATAATTTGCTCTGTGCCAAATTATCTTGTTTAAACTTCACATTCCTGTGAGGCACATGCTGTTATATTCCTCATTTAACAGTTGAGAAAGCAGGAGGGCAGATCGGTCAGGTTGCCCAAGATCACACTGCTGAGACAGTGGAAGCCATATCTGTCTGACTTCCATATTTAAGAACTAGACTGACTTTATGTAGTTACAGGGTTGAAGACTAGAGTAAAATCAGGCCAACAATAGGGATATATAGTCTGGTTCCATGTTAGGTGGCACTTTTTGACCATGATTATCATGGTCAAACTGCAGTGGGCTGTTTTTTTCACTAGAAGTTTTCAGGTACTTGTTGTATTACCACTTTTCAGGGATGTTATGGGAGGAGAACGGCCAGCTAGTTAGACTAGGCACCCTCTGATTGTCCCTTTAAGCCCTAAAATTTGAATATAATTCTAAGATTCTAAGATTCTGTGACTTAATGTCTCCCAGGAATTCATACACAGCAGTTGGAGACCCCACCGCCAGAGGTCAGTGTCTTCACATTGGTTCATTTGTACAGAAAGAACCAAGCGTGGTTCCCTCCGCAGCTGCCCAGAGAGCACGTTTGTAACCATCACAAGGGTGATATGACCCTGTGTGTAGATGGAGAAGGATCCACCAACGGAATATTAGTACCCCTCCCTACTCCAGTCCAAACAGTGATTTCTGTCTGCTAATGGATACAAGAAGGTCAGAGTGCTGAAAGTCAAAGGAAGACACCATTTCCAGAGCACTGGGAAAGGTTGTGTTCTGAGGGCTGCACTGGCGAGGAGCCCTAATGGCACTGCCCCTGCTGCCCCTACACTCTGAAAACTAGATAAGTGAGGAGCGAAACAGGGTAGAGGAGTGTTAGAAAGTGACAACAGAAACCTGCCACACCAGATAAGGATCCCAGGAATATTTGACCTGGAGAAAAAACTTGGAGGGGCCATGAGAACTGTCTTCCATAAGGACTCGGGATATCAAAACCAGGATCAGCAAGTGAACATCACCAAGGGACAGGTCACAGCTTGATTTAAGAAGAACTTTCTGGTAGCATCAGGAATGACTACCTTGGGAGGCAACTCATTCTCCACCATTTATTCACACTACACATGCCCACTTCAGGCCTGGCATTTCTAGTTATAGTCCTTTTTATATGATAGAGCAGTGAATAAAACACATAAGATCACCCACTTCAAAGACCTGACCCCGCCTGTGCCTGTGTCTGCACATCCTGAGTTGCTGAGGTGGAGCACACAGAGGCCACATGGGATGTTGGCTTCTTAACATCCCTTCAAGGGGTCCCCTAACTTTCTCAGCTGTGTGAAACCTAGTTTGTCGTCACATCTCTGATACACTCTCAAAATTTGCAGAGGATCTCCCCAAGACTACCTTGCTTTCATGGTTTCCAGTAGAAACAAGGTTATATGTTAGGATATAGGGACACAGCAAACTACAACCACAACTGTAGTTGTAAAATTTTTCTTTGCATTCAGAAGTCTTAGTAAAGTAAAATTTCTTCACTGAGAAACAATCTCCAGTCAGTTTATTTTTCATATTTCTTTTATTTAAGCTTCATTGGGACAAGACATTAAAATTGTTCACATGAGTTACTTTCAGAGAACAACCAGGGCACACAGACATTACATATTCTGTCTTTGACTTGAATATGTAGGATCTTAACTGAAAGCAGAGCCACTGTCACTGTTACCCAAATGCTTACCCAGCTTGATGCAGCCATGCTAATTTTAACTCCTCTGATCATTGGATATTTACCTTCCAAACCCCTCTTCCCCATAGTTATCTTAATTCTTCAACACTTTTCTTTTTCTGGCATGCACTTTCCTTTGCATAAGCAAACATTTTCAAGATAGACACAGTTTTCTCTTTCATATAGTCTTCCTCTTAGTGATCTGCTGTTGAGAAATGTATCACCCTGAAAGAAAAGCGAGAATATGAAAAATCCCTGTGGGCCAGAACTAAGAGTTCTGATATCTTTGCCCCCTTCTTGCTAGAAAGACAGTGCTCTAAGGTATTTGGGCTGCTTCTGAACAGGCTTTCTTCCTTATAATACCACTGGGTCATACCTAACTTGTTCTGTGTGAGTTTGTGAGGGTTTAGAGATACCTTCTTTAGACTCAGTGTGCTAAGTGTCTTAATTCTCTATTTCTTAAATAATGGTAAATCCAGGAAGTTAAGGAAGTCAGGGACTTTCTGCCTTGGGGGTGGGGGTCAAGCTACAGAGGGTTTTTGGAGAGCATTGTGGAGGCATCATCTAAGTCTCAGCTGTTAGTGTACACTTGTGCTGGCATCAGTGGCACACAATGGCCTTTATGGCTTCTCATTATCTGTCCCTGGACATAGTGACTGTTTCTAGAACATTCTCTACTGCTCTGGGACCATGAGGAATGCTCATGTTACCTCTCATCGGCTCAGCCCGGTCAGGCTGCTCAGTCATGATCCAGAGCCCCTACCAGGTGGGAGCTACTTTATAAGGTTTCTTCTTACTTGGGCTTCACCTGCCAGGTGAGGTGCACATACCTCTGCTCTTAACCCCTGGTCATACTTGGGAGTTTTTTCATGTTCACCAGGAGCTGGTGGGGGACTGGCAGGAAGCAGGGCCCATTACAGTTGGCAGGGACCCTCAGCTTTGCCTGATCATCATGCTCCTATTTTTCTTCCTCTTCTAGTCTAGGCAACCTCCAGCTGCTTCAGCTATTCCTCCTCAATCTTTTTTTTTTTTTAAAGATTTATTTATGCATACAAGAACTGGGGTACAGGCCAGAGATGTGGGGGGTGAGAGGATTCACCAGAGGTAGAGGAGGGAACAGAACAGGCTGATATACTGAAATACACTGCTGAAGGGAGCAGCGAGCAAGACAGGAGAGATCTGCTGTACCATGTGGGTCACCTCCTTGGCTTGGGATCAAACTTGTGCTGCAGTGGCTGCAGATTGCTTCATAGTACTGCGTCTTATCAGGGAGGTCCCCTTCCTCAATCTTTAACTCATGTGTTTACTTTATGATCAAGTCCATCGATACTTATGCTTTTGAGATTAAGAAAGCAGAATCGGGCCTCTCTGGTGGCGCAAGGGATTAAGACACAACCTGTGAAGCTGTCCGCAGCCTCTGCAGCGTGGGTTCGATCCTTGGCCAGCCATGGAGCAACCTACATGGCGCAGCAGACCTCTCCTGACTCACCTGCTGCTCCCCTAAGCAGTGTGCTTCGGTTGATCTGCCTGTTCTGTTCCCTCCTCTACCTCTGGTGAATCCTCTCACCCCGCCACACCGCTAGCCTACACCCCAGCTCTTGTATGCATAAAATAAAAAAAAGACTTTAAAAAAAAAGAAAGCAGAATCCTCACACCTCAGACATTTGACTCTCAAGATCATCTGCTTTAAGCAGTTTCCCTGGGAAGGACTTGGAGGACCTTGAGCAGGTATGAGGACAGTCAGGACCCTCTGCCTCTATCCTCCATTGTAGTGATCCTATATTAGCCACCCTAGGACTTTTACAACCCAGGGGAGAAAACAGGCCATAGCAATCCAGATCAAGGAAACCCTGTATTGACTGAGATTTTGTTTCTGTTGCTCAGGGATCCCAAAAGAGTTTCTTCAAAATTAAAAAAAAATTGACATAGAGTTTGTGGTTAGACATGTGTGTCTATCACCAAAACAAATAATGCAGTTAAACCAATTAAAATACAGCCAAATGATCTTAAACATAAGATAGTCAACACAATGAAGTTCCAGTCCAAGACTCCTATATTTAAGAAACATGCATGTATATTGTTAACATATGATAATGTGAGGCTCTCTACATAAAATCTGTTGAGCCTTTATTTGTGCTGGCTACTCTGCTGAGTAAACATTTTACACATTTCATCTTATTTCATTGTCACTGCAATCCCACAAGGAAGGCTGTATTATTTGCACATTTTACAGATGAAATTTATAGAAACTGTACAGATAAGTCACAAAAAGGTTAAGTAACTCATCTTAGAAGTTAGATCCCTACGTTAGAAGTTAGATTGCTGAGTGCCCAAGTGCTCCCACAAAGTGCTCCCCAGTCTACCAATATTTCCTGAGCACCTACTATGTGCCTGGGGTTTACATAACACCGAATACACATTTGCCTTGATCCCTATATCCCCTCTCCCCTCCCCGCCTGCACTCTCATCCTCAGACTCACCCCGTTGGGTCTTGTTCTCCTTCTTCACTGACTTGAGATGCTCCAGGGACTCCTCATAGGTGGTCTTGATTTTGAAGCTCTCAGTCATGTACATGCGGCATTCCTGCGAGCTGTCCGCCCCCACCTGCAGCTCCTCACACTTCTGCTTCCACTGGGCCGGTATCTGTCAAAAACTGGCTGCTTCTTGTCCAAGGCAGCAGCTGCAGCAATGGCCTATGGCAAGGTGGGGATGGACTCCTGACTTTCCTACCTCTTCCCCCTCCTCCTGCCCCCTCACCAGTAACTGGTGACCACAGACTTCTTGGGAATTGGGATATAATTCAACATTTATGGCACAAATGCAGAACAGGGAATTGGGAAAGGGTTACGTTCCAGTACTAAAATGTCTACTACTGGATGTGTGACCTTTCTTCCCAGGCTAGAATTTTCTCAGTTGAGAACTGAGGGATCTGGCCACATTGGCCTTCCCAGATTTATGACATCCAGCCTAATCCCCATAATGTGCCTCTCTATGATATACACTATATGTTGTTGTCTAACACAGAGATGAGCTTGGCATTATTTTTCTTCTAATTCATAATTTTTCTTCTAATTCTGTTTTTCTTCTTATTTCTTCTAATTCAAAGATGATTATTTTTAGACATTTTTCATTGATCTTTCATTTTTTTCATAATTCCCTGGCAACTGTGTATTCGATGTTATGTAAACATTAGATTTTTTTAAATATTAGATTTAAATTTAAAAAAAAATTAGCTCTTTAAAATATTAGATTTTTAATTAATTTATGGAGAACAAAACTTCAGGGTCTTAAGGAGTTTTTTTTTCTGAAGCCACTCATAGATTTGACATGACTAGGTGCCCCTCACAGCCACCATGAAGCTTCTGTCCTCTGGAGAGCAGGGAGGTATGTGCTAGCACGTACAAACACACATTCAAGCAGGAGTCTGTGTCCAGTCGGCCTGAATGTGAAGGCTGCTCTCCACTCACCAGGGCCCCCTGCTTCTGCCTGCTAGCCCCACACATGTGATCAGCTTCTGTGGGCCCAGGGACTCGGTAGACAAGCAGCCTTTGAGCATCAGTCCCCCTAACCTTCTTCAAGTTGATGGTGAGATCCTTCACTATAGCTTGGAATCTCTGTTTATTTTTTTCGAGGGTGGCAGCCCAGGCCTGGGCAGCTTCAGCTGCCTCTTCTCCTTCCTGAAGCCTGGCAGCCAGTTTCCTCCTGTGGATGAAGGCAAGAGGTACCATTAAAGATGCATGGGAGCGGGTCCAGTGTATGGCGCGGAGCTCTGGTGTCACAATGGAAAAGATGCAGACAAAATGGAGTGTTGGAAGCAAGCACTGTCCAATTATTCATTCAGCATATATTTATTATTCTCTGTGCCAAATATTGTCTCAGACATTGGGAAACTGCAGTAAAAAAAACAGATTAAGATGCCTGCCCTCAGGAAACTTCTCTTCTGAGGTGGGGGCAACAGACACTATACAATACACAGATAGCAGCCCTGGAGAAGGGGAAGCAAGTAAACTCATGAGTGAAGGTCTGAGGGTGGAGGACAAGGCCCTTTGGGGGTGTGGGGAGAGGTTCCAGGCAGAGAAGTAAGAGATTAAGATTTTGGTTTAGCCTGGAAGTGACAGCCCTCGTATGGGACCAGGCAGCTCCTGATAGCTTCACAGAAGAGAGAAAGGGGCTGGAGGGCAAGAGGTAGAAGGTATAGGAAGGCAGGTTTAAAGTCAATGTAAAGAGCTTCAAATAGAGTTATGTCAGACCCTGGGATTCTTCATATTCCTGGCTCAGTTTACTGTTTTCCGCTGGGTGAGAAGGGAATGAGAGAATTTTTTTGAAAGATTTATTTATTTATGCATACAAGAACTGGGGTACAGGCCCAATGTGCGGAGGGTGAGAGGATTCACCAGAGATAGAGTGGGGAGCAGAACAGGCAGATCTACTGAGATACACTGCTGAGGGGAGCAGTGGGTGAGACAGGAGAGGTCTGCTACACCATATGGGTTGTTCCCTGGCCAGCCAGGGGATTGAACTCGTGCTGCAGAGGCTGCGGATTGCTTCGTAGTGCGGTGCTTAACCCCTTGCACCACCAGGGAGGCCCGAGAGAAATTTTGGATGAAGAATTGGCTCCCCAGTTAGATTCTAAGTTCCCCAGGGCACTACAATGTCCCCCCTTGGGTGGCAGCCAGGCCACCCAAGCTGGAAGGAATGGGGAGTATAGTGACCTACACATCAGTCATCCAAATTAAGCCAATCCAGGATACCTCCTTGCCCTGTACAGTCATAAATGATTTTCAACTTTTATCAACCATCTAGCTGAGCCCCGTTTCCTTTAAAAAACCCAACCTTATTTATGACAAACATGAATGAATTATATGTTCAATGCTGTAGAGCAGGAACCCATCACTGTCCAATACTTGTCCTTCTAAGATGAAAATACAAGTGTAGAACAGGTTAAAACAAGATTCTCCCCAATGAGTTAAAAAATAATTCCAGTTGAAAGACATTTCAAAATTTTGTGTAGAACCCGGGACCAAAAAAAGACCTTAAGTTGTGTTTATCTCAGAGGTAGCACAGTGACACTGACTCTGAGGTTTTTTTTGTTTTTTTTTAATAATAAGCTTAAGAAAACGAGGACCTGCCTGTTGCTCATGGGGGTTAAATGGCTTCCTGCAAATCCCCCAAGAGGTTAGTGTTAATTTTTTTTTTTTTTAAGGATAAAGATAGCACTGCAGTGTGTAAAAGGAAGCCTGCAGAGGAGGAAGCCTGCTTCCCATAAAATAGACATAAGAATCATTGAGGAATATTTGTGGTCAAGACAGGAGGAGCCAGAGGTAACTGTAGTGTCCACTAGCTGCCAAATCCAGATGGCGTGCATGGGGTAAAGGGTTTGACATAACCAAGCCCCTAGCAGGAGATATGGCAAAGAAATTTGGAGAAAACAGTGGGCAGAGAGAGTGGTTACTGTATAAACTGAAACCTCAGAACCTACGCTTCTGTCATTCCCAGATGGTTTGTTGGGGCCAGAGGCCAGGAAGAGGTGCCTGATCCAGAGAGATGGAGCAGGTTTTTCTGGTTCTGCTCTGAAAGTCATTAGTTTTTTGGCCACAGGCAAGTCACATCCTCACTGAACTTTGCTTCTCCTATCCGTCAAATGGGCGTATTGATTTTAAAAAATATTCAGGATGAGGAAAATAAGGCCAATGGGTGCTGCACTTTCACACTGGAGTTATTCTATTTTTTAAAAGATTTATTTATTTATACAAGCACTGGGGTACAGGCCAGAGTCACAGGAGGGTGAGAGAATTCACCAGAGACAGAGCAGGGAGCAGAACAGGCACAAGGACTGAAATACACTGCTGAGGGGAGCAGTGGGTGAGACAGGAGAGGTCTGCCGCGCCATGTGGGAATCTCCCTGACCAGGAATCAAACCGGCTGCGCTTAACCCGCTATGCCACCAGGGAGGCCCCACACTGGAGGTATTCTAACTGGAGTTTTTCTCCCCTCAGGAAATGCACTATTTATTCCTGGTTAGAGCCCAGTCTTGGCAAACTTAGATGTTCACTAGTATATCAGTTGCAAATTATTTTTGTCCTAGAGATGCAAAGGATTTCTTTTGATAGAAAAAACAAACACACAACCCAGTAGTTAAGGTATTATTGTCCTGTAGGATATTAACCAGTTTTGCACCTAACTGAGCAAAGTTTAAAGCATTCCTTTCCTGACTATATAAATCTCTGCCCCTTAAATGCTCTCAGAATGCAGCTGTATAATTTTTCTGCTTCCTTCATTAGTGGCACATGTTTGATTTCTGTTAGTATGTGGGTTGTGTTTCTAAGTGTTTGAAAATTGTATTTTGTTGGTATTCTGCCTCTCCTGTTGATCTCACAAGGTGGGTGGGATCATAGAGATCTGATATAAAAATGCTTTGTTCCCAGCTTTGCACTGTAACCATATTACTTGGAACACTCGGTGGGTGGAATACAATCTCTTTGTCTCATCACAGGGGAGGTGAATTTTTCAAGGCTAAGAAAACACTTTCAGTTTTCTTGAGGATTTCTGTTCCATCCCCACTGTTCCTTAGACAGCTGCAGGGAGGAATGGGGTCACCCTGGAGGCGGGTCCTGATGTCATTAACTTCTGCCTGTTTTTTTTTTTTTAAGATTTGTTTATTTTATGCATACAAGAACTGGGGTACAGGCCAGAGGTGTGTGTGGGGGGGGTGAGAGGACTCACCAGAGACAGAGTGGGGAGCAGAGCAGGCGGATTGACTGAAATACACTGCTGAGGGGAGCAGCGGGCGAGACAGGAGAGGTCTGCTGCACCATGTGGGTCAGCTCTCTGGCCGGGGATCAAACTCGTGCTGCAGTGGCTGCGGTTAGCTTCACGGTGCTGTGTCTTAAGCCCTCACACCACTAGGGAGGCCCACTTCTGCCTGGTTTTGTTCTAGCCCAGCCATCTTGGCATTGGCTTTTGCTAAACTCTCTTCCAGCTTTCGGATATGGGCCTCGGCATTCCACTGCTCAGGAAGAATGAATCCAGTGGAAATGGAAAGGCCCAGGGATGGTCCTCTTGCTTGCACTTGGCTATTCCTAGTACTGCCTCCCAGTCTACCTGTCTACTCCTTCTAGAATGTCCCTGTCTCCAAAATCCCCAAAAGCTTACCCATCTACCAACATAAACCCAGAGCCTTTGAGTTGGTACATAGCCTCACTCTCTGGTCTGTTGTCCTTCTATAACCTTTCAAAGGTCTCTATAGACCTCACCCAAAAAGAAAGTGCAGTGGGGCAATTTAAGGAAAAGTGTTAGCATTAGAGCAGGGGTCTATAGATAAAATAAGAACCATGAAGATGTCTTCTGACTGTGAAGTTTGGAGACATGAATTGGCTGGGACAGAGATCCTCAAAGCACTGTCCCTGTTCTCCTTTGGAACCCGCCTCCCTTATTCGCTTGTGTTATAAGAAAGTTCTTTAGGTGCCAGGTGCTTGGTAAATGCATGTTAAATAGCTTTCTTAATTTTCCTTCTCACCATATATTGCTTTTTCATCATGACAGTGTTTGCATTTATCTTGTCACTCCTAGTCTCCAGCCCCTTGAGGATATAATCATACTGACATAATGCTAATTATAATGACTCACTTTCATTAAGCTTTTCGTATGTGCCAGGGACTGTTGTAGCCCTCACGACAGACAGTACTGTGAGGCAGGGATCATTATTACTCCTGCTTTACAGATGAGAAAATTGAGGCACAATTAGGTTATGAATCCCGGCCAAGGTTATCTACCCAGTCAGAGGAGTCTGTGATGGATTCACCTTGATTCTCCTCACAATATCAAAAAACATGCCCTAGGCCTGCTGGGGGCTCAGGGACTATTTGGGAAGTGTCTGGATGCTGTGGTTTCCCCTGTCGTTCCTCTCTGAGGTCCTCCCTCACCTTGGATTTCTGCACAGTCTCTGTGCTGGCATTGAGGTCATCAATCTCAGCCTTCATCACCTGCTTGTCCTTCTCTAGCTTGGACTTGAGCCTCTGCAGGTTCTCCACGTGCTCTTTCAGCTTGGCCATGGAATCCATGTGCTTTTTGCACAGCATGGAGGCTGTGGCCTTGCTCTTCAGGGCCCTCTGCTCCAGCCTTCACCACAGCTTCAGCAGCTCAGCCTGCCTCTTGCAGTTCTGTTCAATCTGGGGTAAAGAAGCAGGGCTTAGCAGAACGGGCCTGTGCACCCTCCCTGAGATGGACACTGCCCACCTGCTCAAGATCCTCTGATATCTTTGCACCCTACTAAGGGGGTGTCCTGATTGAAACATCCATCCTTAGCCTCTGCTGGGTTACCCAGAGGATTTATTAGATAGTTTGATAGTTTGTTGAACTGTGCCCCACCAAAATATATGTTCAAATCTTAACCTTCATACCTGTGAATGTGATCTTATTTGGAAATAGGGTTTATTCAAGTGTAAACAAATCAAATGTCATACTGGATCAGGGTAGGACCCTACCAATGACTGATGTCCTTATTAGAAGAGGGAAATTTGGACCCAGAGAGACAAGAAGGCCTGGTGGCATGCAGGCAGAGATGGGCATGGTTCAGCTTTAGGTGGGGAACACGAAAGATGCCCAGCTAATAGCCAGAAACCAGGAGACAGGTGTGGGACAGATTGTTCCTCAGAGGCTCGAGGAGGAACCAATCCTGTCAACACTGTGATTTCCGACTTCTGAGAAATTAAATGTGCATTGTTTTAAGTTTAGGGTAGTTTATTCCAGTAACCCTAGGAACATAATGCATATGAGAAACTCTTGATTTGTATATGTCTCTTCTGTACCCTTACTAACTTCCACATTATCTCCATTCCACATACCCTTGGAGTGCCGTGTCTTTATTTTCTGTATTCTCATGCATTGACATTGGGGATTTGCTGATGCTGGAAAGACACCCCCCTTCCTCCACAGATAGATAATTCCAAGAGATAGGAAACTACTGGATTTCAAATCAAACCAACCAGTCTAGAGCCTACACCCCCAAATCCCTCTTCTGTGGGGCTCGCACTCTGGGCCTGGCTTCACTGATAACTCCAGGGTATCCTCAAGTTAGCCCCAGAAATTCAGCAAGAACTAACTTGTCTTTATTCCATGGCTCACCATCTAATAATTTTTTCCTCTAGATGTAGGCAGGGATTGGGGTTCCCTAGTCACCTGAAGATAGTACCTGAGCAAATATGATTTCCCCAGCCTGCTCTAGCCTGTCACTGAGGTCTTCGAGGTCCCAGGACAGGTTACTTGGTTGTTTCTCCACCTGGGTGACAGTTAGTGGCATTAATGAGGCTGTCTGCGAGCTCCTCTTTCCAAGGAGAAGACTGTGCTGAGCACATCCTGTCTGTGAGGCCAGAGGCCTGTACTGGGTGGCTCCTCGCTCAGTACAGGTTGCTCTGCCCTCCCTGCACATGGTGGACCTTAGTGCCATCCTGCCCCAGCCCAGTAACGGTTTTGGAGTTTAGGCAAGTTATGGTTCATCTCCCACCAGCCTCTGGCCTCACCCCGCTGGGGGATCCCTGCCCTCAAGCCTCCCCCCACTCCTAATACATGCGTTCTACTTTTATGTCTTTTTACCTGTGCAGGTAGGGGCTGTTTTATTCCCTAGAAATTCCTTGCCTAGAAATTCCTTCCTGCATCAGCCTATCAAATCCAGTCTTCTAGTACCCAGGCAAATGCTGCCTCCTCCACCTGCCCAGAACTGGCCTTTCCCTGGGTTCACACCACCTAGCATCTTTGCATCTCACATCATAATCGGTGTGCATGTTTAGCACAGTGTTTGCACACAGTTGGTGCTCAAGAAACCAGTAGACTTCTTCAGCTGGAAACCTGTCCTACTCTCTATTGGATGGGAACTTCTGCTTATGGTTGGACTGTGGTGGCAATTGGGCCTTTGATTCAAGACAGGGCAGAGGTATTTCCTTACCTGGGCTCTCAACTGCCAGTTCTTCCTCCCGCCCCTCAACTCAGGCCTGGTCGACAGATAAGTAGATAAGGGGGGGTTTCTCTCCTTTGTGAGGTATAGAAACTTACCTATTTGGCCATTTAAAATAGAAATGATGGGTGAGAAGTAAGTATAGGATGGACACAGTGAAAAGCTTGAAAATCACAGTCTTAGGAGTGTATTTCCAGAGGCAGAAGAGGGAAACATTCAGGGGACT